AGCCTGAGCAAGAGCGAGACCCCATCTCTACTATAAATAGAAAGAAATTAATTGGCCAACTAATAGATATAGACAAAAAATTAGCTGGGCATGGTGGCGCATGCCTGTAGTCCCAGCTACTCAGGAGGCTGAGGCAGGAGGATTACTTGAGCCCAGGAGATTGAGGTTGCTGTGAGCTAGGCTGATGGCACGTCACTCACTCTAGCCTGGGCAACAAAGCGAGACTCTGTCTCAAAAAAAAAAAAAAAAAGAAAAGAGAAGTTACAGGAGAGACTGAAAAGACTGGTGGAGGTCATTCACGACAGAGAGAAAAGGCGGGCCGCCCCGCGCAGCAGGGTGGATGGGGTTTTGGCGCGCAGGGCAGGAGCGCAGTGGGCCCTGCCGACGCAAGGGGGCGGGCTGCGAGCACTGGGCGGGGCGGGCCGGGATGGAGGCGGGGAGCTGGCGCCGCAGCTGGGTCTGCAGGAGCTGCAGCAAGTCTTCTCATTCCTGGAGGCCGAAGACCTTCTCTCCCCCGCACAGGTGATCAAGGCCCTGGTCCTAAGACTCACTGTTCCTGTCCCTACCATTGGCCACCTTCCCAGCCTCGTTCTTGCCTTCACCTTCACACTGGCTCTGGCCCTAGTTACAGCCTTGGCCAAAATGCTGACCCTCACCTAACCTGGTTCAGACCTGGCGCTGGCCCTGGCCTTTCCTTTGACCTCAGCACTGCCCCTAGTCATTGCCCTGGCTTTGGTCGTTACACTTACCCTCACCTCAACCCAGCTGTCTTCATCTGTTCTCTGTTGCTTATAGCAGAAAACCTGAAACTGGGTGATTTATAAAGAAAAAGAATTTATTTTTTACAAAAACTGAGAAGTCCAAGGTTGAGAGGCTGCATCTGGTGAGAGCCTTCTTGCTTGTGTGGACCCTCTGAGAGTCCCAGGACAGCACAGGAGGGCATCACATGGCCGGGGCCTAAATGTGCTAGCTCAGGTCTCCCTTCATCATATAAATACATCGGTCTCGCTCTCATAACCCATCAATCCATATCCATACAGGAGGGCAGAACCCTCATAACCCAATCACCTCTTAGATGCCCCACCTCTCAATACTGGCACATTGAGGGTTATGTTTCAATCTGAGTTTCTGAGGGGACAAACATTCAAACTATAGCACCTGCCCTAGCCATTGCCATCACCTTCGTTCTTGCTTGGACTTCTCCCTTGTCTTCAGTCTGGCCTTGGATATGGAGCTTGCAGGTCTCCAGCCTGCTGCAAAGCCTTGGTAGTTGACCTGACCTTCCCCTGGCCTTTGCCCTGGCCCTCAGCCTTGACCTGAACTAGACCCTTGCCGTCAACCTAGTCTTTGCTCTGGCTGTTATATTTGCCCTTACTCTCCCTGGCTCTCACCCTCACCCTGAACTTGAGTTTGACCCTGTTCCCTACCCTCACCTAACATTCATGCTCACCCTGACCTTCACAATGACCCTCAGACCCCCTCTCCTCAAGTCTCTCTCATCCTCAAGACTTCCTCTTTGACCCATATACTATTTGAGTTAATATATATTTAGTTGTCATGTCTATGTTCCTCTTGACTATGACAATTTGAGACTTTCCTGGTTTTTGATGAACTTTACAAACCCAGATGGTTTCACTGGAGAATCTTACTAAATATTTAGATAAGAAAAAAAATCAATATTTGCCCAATTAGTTAGTTCTGGTACTCTTAATACCTTTGTGTAGATGCAGATTTCCATCTTGTATCATTTTCCTTCTACCATCTTCTAGTGTGAGTCAGCTAGTGACAAATTCTTTCACTTTTACATGTCTGAAAAAGTCTTTATTTTTGAAAAATATGTTTGCTGGACAAAATTCTGTTAATAGATTTTCTTTCATTACTTCAAGTTATTACTACCAAGTCAAGAAGATATTTTCCTATGTTTCTGTACTCATAAGTAATAGTAATGATATAATTCTTTTTCTAGTGTCCTTGTTGGATTGTAGTATCAAGACTATTGCTGATGTCACAAAATAAGCTGAGTGGGCTTTTCTCTTCTCTGGGATCTTGGCAATTTCTCTTTATTAAATGATTGGCAGAATTTAGCAGTGAAGCTGTCTGGGCCTTGAGATTACATCATGAAAACAGATTCAATTTCTTTTCTTTTCTTTTTTTTTTGAGATCTTTCCACTGACTTGGCATCAATTTCTTTAATAGTTTTAAGACACTTGTTTTTTTTGCTTTTAAAACACTGAATTTTTCTATGACTTTGCCCATTTTACCAAAATGTCAAATTTATAAGCGTAAAGTTATTCCTAATATCCTTAATCTTTTTTTTTTTTTTTTTTTTTTTTGAGACAGAGTCTCACTCTGTAGCCCAGGATAGAGTGAGTGCCGTGGTGTCAGCCTAGCTCACAGCAACCTCAAACTCCTGGGCTCAAGCGATCCTGCTGCCTCAGCCTCCCGAGTAGCTGGGACTACAGGCATGCGCCACCAATGCCCGGCTAATTTTTTCTATATGTGTTAGCCAATTAATTTCTATTTATAGTAGAGACAGGGCCTTGCTCTTGCTCAGGCTGATTTCGAACTCCTGACCTCGAGCAATCTGCCCGCCTCAGCCTCCCAGAGTGCTAGGATTACAGGCGTGAGCCACCGCGCCCGGCCATCCTTAGTCTTTTAAGCTCTATTCAATTCTAATATATTTGAGACCATATTATTAGGTACATACAAATTTAGAAAAATTCACAAATGAATTATCTTATCATTAGAATGTGTTTTCAAAGTAAAGCACGACTGTGAGGTAAAAACAAAAACGATTCTATGTGTTTACCCCTAGTAATGCTATTTACTTTAAAATCTATTGTTTGGTATCAAATAACTACACCAAATTTTTGGTATGCACATTTTAGATTTATCTCTTGGAAATACCACATAGCTTCATTTTTAAAAATCAAGATAATCTTTGTCTCAGCTAGAACATTTGTTGTATGTACATCTAAATTACTAATATCTTTAGTTAAAACTATCATTTTACTCTGTGCTACATATTTGTAGCCTCCGTTGTATCAGGTATTTTTATTATTCCATTTTTCCTCATAGTTTTAAAAGTTGTATACTCTTTAACTTTGTAATTACTAAGCATCCTGGATGTACATAGTTCTTTTTTTTTTTTTAAAGAGACAGAATCTCACTCTGTCACCCAGGCTGGAGTGCAGTGGCACAATCATAGCTCACTGCAACCTCCAACTCCTGGGCTCAAGTGATTCTCCTGCCTCCTGAGCTAGGACTACAGGGATGCACCACCACACCCAGCTAATATTTCTTATTTTTCGTAGAGACAGGGTCTCACTATGCTGTCCAGAAACTGGTCAACTCCTGGCCTCAAGCAATCCTTTCACCTTGGCCTCCCATAGTGCTGGGATGACAGGCAGGAACCACCACAGCCCAGAGTACAGTTCTTTTAGTTTTGTTTTTGGTTTTGTTTGTTTGTTTAGAGACAGGGTCTCACTCTGTTGCCCAAGATAGAGTGCAGTGGCATGATCATAGCTCCTGCAACCTCACACTCCTGGGCGCAAGCCATCCTCCTGCCTTAGTCTCCTGAGTAGCTGGGACTACAGGCGCACGCCACCATGCCCGGCTAATTTTTCTCATTTTTGTATCAACTGGTCTCACTCTTGCTCAGGCTGATTTCACACTCCTGACCTCAAGTGATCCTCCTGCCTGAGCCTCCCAGATTGCTAGGATTACAGCAGTAACCCACTGCACCCAGTCCAGAGTATACTTGTATTAACAATAAAGTCTGTGTCTGGTGCATCCACTATCTGGAATATCTGCAGTCTGTTTCTGTTGTCTGTGCTGTTTATGTTCTTATAGCCTCACTGCCTGGTTAGCGTTGTACAATGTACATTGTTTGCAAGTTTTTGTAGAAATAATTTAAGGCATCAATTGATAACCACCAAATGAGCTTTTCATCAGTTGACCATATCTTATTTAAACTGTTTCAAACACATCAAGCTTAGGCTGCCATTTATGTAGAGGTGAGAGCTACCAGAAATTAACGAGGCTTGACTAGAGCTTCAAATCTGCAGAAGATGTGGCTGGAGAAATAAAACAGGCCAGAGCATGAGAACATCAGACTTTCCTGAAAGCAAAAACCAGGTTTCTTGTGTTTTGTCATCCCACTAAGTGCTGGACGCCAGTGGCTATAGCAGTGTTAGTTACCTCTGTATCCTCAGTGCTCAGAGAGTTTATCCACATGAAGCATAAGACAAACATTTAAACAATAAAAGATTGCTAAGAATACATTTTTCTAGTCTGTTTTTATCTATCCCTGAACCAACATCACAGTGTCCTAATTAAGACATAACATTATGGTAAGTTTTGGTATCTGATGCTGTAAGTCCTTCCATCATCTATGCTTCTGCTTCCTTCTCTTGGCCCTTTGCATTTCCATGGATTTTCTAGAATCATTTTATCAAATTATTATAAAATGAGGGAAAAGCTGGCTGGGATTATATTGGGATTTATTAAATTAACTGCAGGAGGGCGTATTTCCTTATTGACACGCTGCTTCTGCTCAACCTCATCCCGAGGGAGTGCGTGCTGGAACATCAGCCTCCTGTGCGGAGGGTCTCCTGCTGGACCCCCAGCATGAGCCACCCCTGGGCCTCCACTTCTGTCCACCTCACTTCCACATGAGTGCTCAATCACATGAAGGACACAGGAAGCCCTGTGGCTGTGACCCCCCCAAAAACCGAGGGTCATGAGATGATGCCACCTCTGCCATTTCCCTTGATAGGAATGGAGAAGGAGTAGACATAAGGCAGAGCCACTTGGGTTTTTATAATAAATCTTAAATCCTGAACTAGAGTGTTTAATGTCTCTCAGAGTAAAACCAAACCAAACCTTCCTTCCCACTTGAGTTTCTAACATGAGGACATATCACTCTCTGCACCAGTTCTAACAGGAATGTCCTTGACCAGGAGGCAAAGCCTGGGAAACCCACACCAAGGCAGGCATGGCCATTCTGTGTAGGCAGGCCCTAAACGGCAGTGAAGCTCGCTGTTTCTGATGGCTAAGTCAGTAGCACAACAGATGTGAGGCTCACTGCACACAGGGCAGGCTGTGGGGCTCCTCTGCTGGTCTGGGTGTCCTCATCACCTTGGCTGGGAGTCTGACTTCTGTCTTCTTGAGACCAGCCCTCATGAAGGCTAAGGAGCAGGATGAGGTGTGGAGTGGGCCCAGTGTGCCCGTGGGGAGACTTTGGAGAGCTGAATCCGGCAGGTGGCAGAGGAAAAAGTGGCTTGGCTGATCCTGAGGGGCAGGCAGGTAAGACCAAGGCCAGTGTCTCACCCCTCCGGAATAAAGGGCCGAATCAGCTCCGGATTCAACAGTGACTCCTCAAGTGGCCGGTCCACGTGGAAGTCATGGACGTGGGGGGGCCCTGGGTGGGCCTTGGGGGCCAGTCCTCCTGGGCGTTGAGGAATCGGCAGCTCAGATGGGTGGGCAGGCAGAGGAGCTGTGAAGAAGTACTGATGCAAAAGGGCCTGGGGTGGCAAGTAATGGACAGCAGAAGGAAACCAGTCACCTCCCTGTCCCCAGCCTCTGGCCAAAAGCAACTGGCTGACTCATTGCTTTAGCTCAGGGGTCCTCAAGCTTTTTAAACAGGGGGCCAGTTCACTGTCCCTCAGATCATTGGAGAGTGCACAATGTGGGCCTGGGACAAGCTGGCTGCTAAGCAGGACAGGCAGCGACGGCAAAAACACCCGGAGGGCCGGATAAATGTGCTAGGCAGCCCACAGGTGCCCCATGGGCCATAGTTTGAGGACGCCTGCTTTAGCTACTCATGCATTCGGCTGGCTCAGCAAACCTCTCCTGAGTGTCTCCTATGTCTGGAGCACTGTTCCAGAGGCTGGGGACACAGCAGTTATCAGAGCAGACACAAGCCTGCCTTTTCAACATAGGTGTGGGTGGGGAATAATAAACAAGATGAAGTAAAACACGCAGCAGTCAGATAATGACACTATATAAATAAATAGAGTTGTCACTCTATGGCAAAGAGAAAGCAAGTGGGAGAATGATGAATACTGGTAAGACCGCAGATTTGAAAATTGGGAAGGGAAGGCCTGAGTGACAGGCTCCAGAGCAGGGACAGATGTGCACATACCCCAGAGGGTGTACTGGTGTATCCCAGGACACGCAGGAGGCCCTGGGCCTGAGGAAGAATGAGCACAGGGGACAAGAGCAGGCAGGGTCAAGAGGTGATAGCCCTTGAGCACGCAGCACCTTGGGCCACAGGAAAGACCCTGGCTTTTCCTCTAAGTGAGATGGAGCCACAGGAGGGCCTGGGCAGAGGATGTGTGTGTTCTGCTCTGCCTGGACAAGGTCCCTCTCTCTGCCAGGTGGAGGAGAGATTAAATGGGATGAGGGAGATACAGGTTCTGGGAGGCAACCCAGGAGAGAAGTGGTCAGAAGGCCTGGGTGCGCGTGGAGGCAGAGCCCCCAGGAGCTGCTGACAGCAGGGACTGAGGTGGCGTGCATAAACACCGGCTGCTGGTGCTGAGAGGACACACGCATGCCTGAGGGTGAGGCCCTGACGCTCATCAGCCCGTGGCCCCTGTGGTGCGCTTCATCCCCACTGGCCTTCCAGCCACAACCCGAGTCCTCCCCTCTCGGCTGCTGTTCCCCATTTCTCTCTTCAGCGAAGACCTCCTCGAACACCTCCTAGTACCTAAACCTGCCCTCCACCAAAAGCCTTGCTTGGCCCTAAAGTCAGCCCTGCCCTCCCTCCCGGGGCTCCCACAGCCTAGTGGCATGCCCTCTTATAACCTTTTAGGCCTGGTGCTACCTCACCACAGGAGACGGGGAGCCCCCTGGAGGCAAGTCAGCTTGTTCACCACCTGTGCCAGGGCCCAGAACGATACCCAGCACGTGCCACGTGCTCAGTAAATCCTTACTAAGGGACTGAAGGAATGACTCCCCATTAACTCTCTTGCTGTATCCTCCACATGGCCTCAGGCAGCCCAGGAGCCAGCACACCCAGACACATGCTCTGCTGTAAGGTGGGCATGATCCTCCAACAGCTGCCCCCAGCCCCTCGGGGAACACTGGGGATGTCCAGTGGGGCCTGCTCACAAGAGGCACAACTGCTCTGAGAACTCTGTGCCCTGGGATCTGGGAGCAGCATAGGCATCCCAGACACCTGGCTCTGGATCCTGCCCATCACAGGTGCTAAGGGTTGCTGACTTGATGGGGTCATGTGGCCACCGAGTGCAGAGCGTATGGGCAATGGGAGGGGAGCTGAATAAGCAGAGACCATGGCCTTTCACCCTACCTGGGAGGCTGCGATGCGCTGGTGAGGAGGGTAGAGGAGGAACTGACCCAGCAAGTCCAAGGCCTGAGGAGAGGCGTCTGGCAGCACCTCCTCCAGGGGCACGGGCGCCTGCTCCTTAAAGGAGATCTTATTGTAGTCGGGCAGCTCAGTGATCTCCTGGGGGGGGGGCAGGGCAGGGGAGGAGGCATGTAAGAATGGGCATTTGCCACTCCCTCTGCCACTAGCTCTCAGTCCCTAACATACCCTCATGTTCACTCATTGCTCCCCACTCCCACCCCTGGCATCATTCATTCACTCATCCACTCATCCATACATTCCTTCATCTATCCCCTCACCCTCTCAGATGCCAGCTCCATGCCCAGTTTGCTGAGATACTGTGCATGTGTGTGATGGAGTGGGAAAAGGCAGAGGACAGGACCTGCCCCACACCCCCAAAGTATGGCAGAAAGGAGGAACCTCTGAGTTGGGCCAGAACACTGGTCCTGTGGGTCCAGGAGGGCTGGGGCCAGGAGACAGAAGGTTCAGGGGGAGGGAGGAGTCACTTGGTGTTGGGATGTGCAGTAAACCTGCCCCCAACCCTCCCCACAAAGGGTCCCTGCAAACCGGCCAGACTTTAGGGCTGGGGGTGCCCAAGATGCGAAGCACACAGCAAAGCTGTTCAATGTCGTTCTCGCCCGGGAAAAGGGGGGACCCATTCAGCAACTCCCCCATGATGCAGCCCACGGCCCTGTGGACACAGAGCCCCAAGCAGCTCAGAGATCTCCCACCATAGGACACATACCTCCCCACAGCCACCCAACACCTCACTCCAGGGCAAGGCCCCCTCAAGTGTCACTTCCAGGGGCACAGTCCCCAAACAGTCAAAGCCCCAACAGTTCTGAGACTTCTCAGAGCCTCCCACTCTAGGACACATAGCTCTTCTGCACTTTCTGGAGCAGATCAGCAAACCAGCCCCACATCTCAGAGCTGTGGGCACTGCCAACCATACTACCCCCAAAAAGGCTCAGAACCTTCCCATCCAGGGACACAGGCCTCTGACCATTCAGAGATATCACATCTCAGGATCTAACCCCACCCAGACCAGCTCAGACCCTCCCTACCTTGAGCCTCAGACCACCTCCCCACGCAGCCCAGAGGCTTCCCACCTGGGACCACCATTTTCATCCCACCTGACCCCCACTCAGCTCAGAAACATCATGGTGAGGAACACCAACCCCAAACTGTTCAGAATACCCCAGTCATGGAAGACACCCTCAACCTAGAGCTCCCATCAGGGAAAAAAGATGCCTAATATCTCAGAGACCTCAGGGCCTAGCAGAAATCTAAGACCCACATTACCCCATCCCCACCACAGGGGCCTCACCACAGGTCGACACCCTGGTCATACTGGCGGGCACCATACAGGAGTTCAGGGGCTCGGTACCACCTGTGAGGAAGACGGCTAGTGGTCACAGCCAGGCCACTGGGCTGAGAGGAGGATGCCCCAGAAGGTTACCCCAGCTCAACACCAGCCCCACAAGCAATGTCTGGACAGAAGGCCCAGAGGCATCTCTTTCCCAGGGAGAGAGCTGGAACAGATCCAACCTTTCCTACCTGGTCGCCACCTGGTGTGTGTAGAGGCGGCTGCCATCTGGGGAAAAGACTCGGGCCAGGCCAAAGTCTGCTATCTTGAGCTGGCCTGAGGAGCTAATGAGCAGATTGGCAGGTTTCAGGTCCTGGGGATATCAAAGAAGGCATCAGTCTCTCAAATCTCACCAGGGACACCAGGAGCTTGGCAGGCTGACCACCCAGGTCAGCCACAGTCCCCATTGCCTTCAGGGCCATGCCCCAGCTATTTACCTGAAAGCCCTGACCACCTCTGTCTCCCCTCTGACCACACCTTCTTTAAGCGCTAGCCCCACCCTCAAGCCGAATCAGTCCCACCCGTGGCCCATGCTTGGACTTACCCGATGAACGATGTTGTTTGCATGGCAGAAGGCAACGCCCTTGAGTAGCATCTGCAAGTAGCTCTTGACTTGTGCCTGGGCCAGCGGCCTCTGGGCATGGCGCACTACCTCAGCCAGATCTGATAGCATGAATTCGAAGGCCAGCACGAAGCCTGCACCATGCGGGAACACAGCCTTCAGCTGCACCACCTGAGGAAGGACATCCTGTTAGCCCCAGACTCACATCGCCAGGCCCTCTCTGTGACCCCAAGACTCCCAATCAGTGCCCAGAAAGAGGACCAAGCAGGCAAAGAAGGTGACATGGGACCTGAGCTCAGAACTAGAGAGCTCAGTGTTCACATTGCTCTGCTCTCCTGAGACAAGGTGGATCCCTAATCTAACTTCATGAACATTCAGGGAAAAGGCCTAATGAAGGTCACTTAGTGGCAGTATCTGGTCCCCCAACCCAGCCTACCCACTCGAAAATCATGTGGCTGGACACACACGAGTACAGATGTTTCCTCTAGAGCCATTAAATCCCAGCACCAAGGGAAGGGCACCAGGAATCACTTCTTCCCCAGTGCCAGAGCAGCTGGAGACACTCACACACACGGAAGCCACCACTGTCAGAGGGGCCAGGCTGCACAGAGCAGAGAACTGGGAGACAAGGACTCTAAGGAACTCACAACACAGGGAATAAATGTTAACAAATACATGAATGAATGGGATATGTTCAGGTTCTGATAAGCACAGGATAGAAATGCAAGATAGTAGTGCGATTCTGAGTGGGTGGAGAAATGGATAATGTATTTAGATGCAGTGGGGTCAGGGAAGGGCTAGACAAGAAGCCAGTTATGTAGAAATCTGGGAAGAAGCTACAGGCAGGGGAAACAGCAAGTGCAAGGCCCTGAGCCCAGCACAGAAGGAAGCTGGAGGGACATAGAATGTGAGGTCGTTTCGGGGAAGGATGTGTCTGCTCTGCTCTGTGCTCCCAGGGCCTAGCTCAGTGCTGGGCACTGGAGCGATGCCTAAGAATCTGTGTTGAATGAGGGAAATGGGAGAGGCCGGCTGGAGGTGGGCACACAGTGATGGTGCTCTAAGTGTGAAGAGAAGTCAACAGGGCTATTTGAACAGGAGAGGGGGTTATTTGTATTTCTCACAGAGCCCTCTGGACTGTGGCTGGGGAGAGTAGCGGAGACGCTGCTGCTGTTGTTCTGATGAGTGGTGACAATGACCTAGGCTGGGGGCAAATTTGGAGTATGTTTTAAAGATAGAAACTTCAGGACTACTGATTCACCAGATGTGGAGACCATGTCACCAGCCTTTTTATGGATCTCTCTCCACCTATCCCACACATGCTATCTGGAAGCCCTTTTATTTTCCCTGAAAATTAGCTCTGATTTCTCAGGTAGTAAATAATCATTTTACAGATCAAAACACAAGCTTATGTTCAGATAAGACACAAAATTATAAAGAAAGAAAGAACAAACGAAAAATCCTACCACCTACAGTTAATTTCAGAGTGTATTCCATGAGGTTTTATAGCACGTAGGGTACACAGAGATACACACATATATGATATTTTCAAACAAAACCAAGATGTCACAGAGTTTTATAACATGGTTTTGTCACCAAATATATCATGAACATCTCCAGAGGACAAGGAACCTAAGTCAGTGGATGGCAGAAACCCAGCCATGTCACTTTCCAGGGAGTTGCATATGGTCCCTACTCTGGCATGGATCAGAGAGCGAGCACCATAAGAGAGTAGTGACGCTGGGAAGGAAAGATGTCCCTCTTGCCCACAGCCCTTCCTGGGACCCCGTCACAGCACAAACCACACCAGGCTGGCCCTGATGCCTCTGTCAACATTACCACACCTAAGTTCTCAGGAGCCTGGCTGGAGCTGGTTCTTCTGTGTGTCACCAGTGCCCTGCACAGGGTAGAGCCTACTGGAGGCCCCAAAGGAAGAATGCCTGAACTCCTCAGACTGGGCCAAAGCCTCCACCGGCCAGCTGGCGGCCCATGAGCTGTTGACTTAACCTCCTCCCCTTGCCTAAGAAAAGGAGATGGTGAAATCTGCCTTGCAGAGCAGTATAAAGGAGTCAGTGTGACATGCTTACTTAACATGGCCTGCAGAACACACGAGGAGCTCAACAGGTGCTACTTATCATTAGAAATCACTAAATATTTTGAGAAAAAATAAGTTAGTGAATGAATAAATGAGTACATAAAGAAATAAGTGGGTAAATGAGAGAGTAAATAAGTAAGGAATGGAGTAATTAGGTTAATGAGGGTGAACAAGTGGGCACAGAAGGGCAAAAGTAGGCGTTAGGAGGCAGATGGATGAGCAGAGTGGGCGAGTGACAGAGGGAAGGGTAAGTGGGTGAAAGAAGGCATGAGGGAGCGGGAAGGAGGGCGAGAACGCGAGGCCTCACAGCCCCCTTCCCCACTCACATATGGACTGTCCTCGATCTCCTGCAGAGCCTTGATCTCCCGCAGGGCCTGGTTGGGGATGCCATCCTCCAGCCGCCGCAGGGCCACTTTCTTGAGAGCAACTATCTCGCCAGTCTGCAGGAAAGAACTGAGACATTGCCAGCCCACCCCGGCGGGGAAAGAGGACGGGACGGGGAGGGAGAGGCGGAGGCGGAGCGAGAGAAACGCACCCGGGCTGGGCCACAGGCACTCCTCCCTCCTCGCAGGTCTAAGACTAGTTCTGCCCGGGGGAAAACAGGGGCGTGAGGGGAGGCGGCGGCGTCCCGACAGCTGTGCGGAGGCAGGCGCAACGCCCAAACGCGGTCCAGGAAACCGGCAGGTCTTAAAAACTGGTTGAATGTAAAAAGGCAGGAAACCGAGGCAGTCTGGATAGCCAGGCGGCAGGAGGAGAGCGCGCACTCCCACCGCTGCCGACCCCGTCCGGCCTCACCTCTACGTGCTTGGCCTTGAACACGATGCCGTGGGCGCCCTCCCCGATGCGGCCCAGGATGCAGTACTGGTCCATCGGGCGCTGCCGCGGGTCCGCGCCGCGCGAGCTCCCGAGTCCCGCCCGGTAGCCACTGCCTTTCGGAGCTCGCTCCGACGCGGCTGCCTAGCAACGGAGCCCGCAGCAAATCGCCGGGGCAGGGGCGGGGCCGCGAGGGCCGCGTGACCGAGAGAACAGGCAGCGTTCAGTCAGGGGCTGACGCCGGCGCTTGACCGCGCCTTTTGTAGCCCTTCGCCGTCAGGCCGCAGAGTGTTTCATTCAGCACAGGTCAACTCCGCTCCTAGAGCGCGCCAGCAGCGCGGGCCACAGAGAAATGGCTCCCGGGGCGTCCTCTCCGCGCCGACCTCACGTCACGTGACGAGTGGCGCGCGCAGCCGGCGGGGGCGGGCGCCTTTCTTGTCAGGCCGGGCGGAGCTCCCAGCCTGTGTGCCGGCTGCGAAACGCGCAGGGCCTTGCTCTAGCTCTGACGCCCAGGCCCAATGGTGATGAAGAGAGACGGGCCGGGGTTGGGCCTCTCATCTTGGGAGGTCATCTGGCAACGTGTATCCAGGCTTTTAAAAAGGGCATACTCTGGCCCCCAAAGGGCAAAAAACACAAGTAGCCCTTAAATTTCTGAAAAGTTGCTCAGCCTCACACATAATAAAACAAATGCAAGATAGATTTACAATTTCAGCCAAGTGGTGGTTGTGTGCCTGTAGTCCCAGCTCCTTGGGAGGCTGACACGGGAGCATCCCTGGAGCCCAGAAGTCGGGAGGCTGCAGTGAGCTGTGCTCACGCCACTGCACTCCAGCCTGGGCAACAGAGCCAGACCCCATCATACACACATAAATCGGTCATCCACTCGTTTATTCATTCCACTTCTGTGTTAACAATTGGGGAAGAATGGCTTGATGTCCATACAAAGTATTCACCCTGTTTGATGATAGTAGAGACCAGAAAATAACCCCAATGCCCAATGGAAGAATGGCTGAATAAGTTGACAGTGCCATACAAATGGACTAGTTTACAGCTACTAAAAATGGTGAGGACAGATAATAGTAGTGGAGTGGGAAAAGGATGGTCTTCAAAAAGTCCTTCTGGGTTATTTGAATTCATATGGGAGAAAAATGTATTTTGACCCCAGGCTTCACACCATATACAAAATTGATTCCAGATGGACTGCAGATCTAAATATGAAAAGTAAATAATAAAGCTTTTAGAAGAAAACAGAACATCTTAATGACTTTGGGTTAGGTAAAGATTCTTTTTAGGTTATAGAATGCACTAAAAGAAAACAAATATGAGAAATTGGACTTCATCAATGTAAAATTGTCTGAACAGTAAAATGAACAGTAAAAATTTCTATTCATGAAAAGATACCATTAGAGAGTGAATAGGAAAGCCATAGAAAGGGAGAAGAGAACTGTAATACATATACCTGACAAAAGACTCATGTCCAGAATTTATAAAGAATTCTTATAAAACAATGAAGAAGCATCAGACAACAGAAAAAAAATGGGCAAAACCTGGAACAGACATTTCACTAAAGGAGATGACTGAATGGTCAATAAACTTTTGAAAATGTCTGTATTTAACTTCTCTAGTCATCAGGAAATTTCAAATTAAAAATAATACAAAAACAAAACACATAATAAAATATTACTGTAAGATGTGCAACGTTTGGGGGATGGACATGCTTGAAGCTCTTACTCAAGGGGAGAGGGGGGCATGGGCAATATAAGTAACCTTAACACTTGTACCCCCATAATACACTAAAATAAAAAAATTTTAAAAATTACTGTAATCATCAGAATGGTTTAAATCAAAAGATAGATAATACCAAATGCTGGCAAAGATGTGGAGCAACTCCCATAAATGCTGATAAGAAGGTTCTTACAATGACTTTGAAAAACTGGTATTTTTTCCTACTGAAGATGAACATACACATGTGTACACACACACACAAACACACACACTCTATGACCTAGTAACTCCACTCCTGGAAATTTAACCTGACAGGAGTACATATGTTCACCAGAGTACAAGAATATTCAGAGCGGCACTCTTTGTAATAGTCCGCATTTGAAAACAATCCAAATGTCTATCTATGGTAGAATGGATAAATAAATTGTGGAATATTCAAGATGAATATTCCACAAGAATAAACAAGATGAATGTCAAATACAATGTTGATTGAAGAAACCAGACTAAAAAGAATACTTACTGTATCATTTAAATAAAATACAAAATTAATCTATGGTATAAGAAATAAGGAACATAGTAAACCTTGGGGAAGTGCCTGGAAAGGGGCATGAGAGGGCTTTGGGGAGCTGTTAGCAGCTAGTCTTCCAACTTGTGCCCTTTCTGTATATTTATAATGCTTTAAAAAGATGATGACATATGCAACATATGAATACATTTTCTCTTTGCAGAAAAAAATGTGTATATACCACTTTTAAAAATGTAAGTAAAAAATACTGAATCTTTCTTTAAGCATAAAAACCAGCTTCCACTTAGTCAAGTTTTACTAGCTAGTTTGATGCCCCAGGAAAGTTTCAAAGCAAATGCCTTTTTGCTTAACTAATTACTTTCACTTGACTAAAATTTACTCCCTTTCCCACACATAAGACCATTGTACAATTATCAAATACTTTATGAAGTGTCATTTTGTGCATCACATCACAACAGAAAGACTAGTATGATTATGGTAATATGGGAGTTATTACAGTCTTCTTGAAGATATGCTCGAAGGAGATCGTCATCTCAATTTACTCAGAAAAAGACTTTAACAAAATTCAACACTCTTTAATGATGAAGGCAATCAACAAACTGGGAATGGAAGGAAATTACTTCACATAATAAAGACCAAATATGAAAAGTCCACAGCTAACATCATATTCAATGGTAAAAGACGGAAAGTTTTCCCTTTATGAGGGAAAACTTATGAAGGACTTGTTCTTGAGAACAAGTCAAGTTTTGAGCTTTCCCTGGGCAGCTTAAAAAAAGAAAAGTCAAGGATACCCACTTTTATTTAACATAGTACTGGAGATCCTAGCCAAAGCAATTAGGCAATCAATAAACAAATAGCATCCAAATTGGAAAAGAAGAAAGAACATTATCTCTGTTTAGAGACAACATGATTTTATATGTAGAAAACCCTAAAGAGTCCACAAAAAACTGTTAAAACCAATAAACAAATTCAGCAAAGTAGCAGGATACAAAATCAATATGTAAAAATCAGTTGTTTTACACACTAAAAATAACCAATCTAAAACAGAAATTAAGAAAACAATCCCATTTACAATAATATCAAAAAGAGTAAAATACTTAGGAATAAACAAGGAGGCAAAGGACTTGTTTGTTGAAACCTACAAAATGTTGCTGGAAGAAATTAAAGTCAAATAAATGGAAATACATCCATGCTCATGGATTGAAAGACTTAATATTGTTAAAATGTCAATGCTATTAAAAACAATCCATAGATTTAATGCAATACCCATGGCTTTTCTGAAGAAGAAGAAGAAGAAGAATTAGAAAAATATCTTTCTGAAATTCATATGAGGCCAGGCATGGTGGCTCATGCCTATACTCCCAGCAATTCAGAGGGCTGAGGCAGGAGGATCACCTGAGGTCAAGAGTTTAAGACCAGCCAAGGTAACGTGTAGCAAGACCCCAACTCTACAAAAAAAAAAAAAAAAATTAGCCAGGTGTGGTGACATGTGCCTGTAGTCCTAGACATTTGGGAGGCTGAGGTAGGAGGGAGAATTGCCAGAGCCCAGGAGTTGGAGGCTGCAATGAGCTATGATCACACCACCGCAGTCCAGCCTAGGTAGCGGAGTGAGACTGTCTCAAAAAATAAAAATGAAAATGAAAATAAAACTTATGGCCAGGCACAGTGGCTCACACCTGTAATCCTAGCACTCTGGGAGGCCAGGCAGATGGATCGTTTGAGCTCAGGAGTTTGAGACCAGTCTGAGCAAGAGTAAAACCTCATCTCTACTAAAAATATAAAGAAAGGACAACTAAAAATATATAGAAAAAATTAGCTGGGTATGGTGGTGCATGCCTGCAGTCCCAGCTACCCAGGAGGCTGAGGCAGGAGGATTGCCTGAGCCCAGGAATTTGAGGTTGCTGTGAGCTAGGCTGATGCCATGGCACTCTAGCCCAGGCAACAGAGCAAGACTCTGTATCAAAAAGAAAAAGAAAAAGAAAATTATATGAAATTTGAAGGGATTCCGAATAGCCAAACCAATCTTGAAAAAGAACAAACTTGAAGGTGTTAACTTTTCCAGATTTTAAAGCTTACTACAAGCTACAGTAATCAGAACAGTATTGCACTGACATAAAGACAAACCAATGGACTAGAACAGACAGCACAGAAACAAACCTTTACATACACAGTAAAATGATTTTCAACAAGGATGACAACACTATTCAATGGGGAAGGGACAGTCTGCAATAAATGGTGGTGGGAAAACCTGCAAAAGAATGAAGTTGGTTGGTTATCTTACACCCCATACAAAATTAACTCAAAATGGATTAAAGACCTAATTGTAGTAGCTAAAAGCATAAAACTCTTAGAAGAAAACATGGGAAAAGCTTCATGACATTGGATTTGGCAATGACTTCTTGCCACAGGCAACAAAAGTAATAATAGACACATTGGATGTCTTCAAAACTAAAAGCTTCTGTGCAAAAAAGGACACAATCAACAGAATAAAAAGGCAGTTCATGGGAAAGGGAGATGGAAAACCCCGACTGAGACATGGCTGCTGCTTCCCAGCTGTAGGTCCTGGCGGCGTCCACCACGGAGGCCTACCTTCTGGGCCAGGGGACTAGGCGCCCGACATCCGCCTCTCAGCTTCTGCTACCGCCCGAGCCTCAGGAGGAAGCCAAGGCCGCAGCTGGCCTGGGGCCCTGCGAGGACTGCTGAGTCGGGTGACTGCCTGTTCCTGCAACGGGGCCTGCGGGCCGGGATGGTGGCCCCCTTCCTTCTCGGTGACGGCTGAACCGTGAGTGGGGACTGCTCTGGCTTCTCACTAGGCGGGCGGTGGCCGGCGTGGGCACCCAGTTCGCGTCCGGTACCAGCCCGGGGACCAGGAGCAGTGACCGAGGTCCGGTCCCGACCCTGTGCCTGCTGCTCAGCGCTGTCCCTCTGGTGCCTGGGGTGGCCAGGCCTGGCGCGTAGGATGCCACCCCTCCCGCTCCATGAGGGCGCCGAGCTCGGCAAGGGCGCGCCAGGGCGCGCTCTCTGCGGGAACAGGATGGCCAGGCGTCAGGCGGGCGCTCAGGTTACACTCAACATCTTGCTGCTCCAGGTGGTGGATTCAGATAATGCCCCAGAAGAGCCGGGCTGCGGGCAGA